TACCCGAAACGTGAAGATTGAACGCTGACATGTTCTCAACTTGACTTGGTAGGACATAAAACTGTACAATCCTCACAAAAAAAGGTCAACCAAACTACAATACTTGCTTTCTTTAATAAAAGCAATTTTATAACTTCAACCAACAAACAAAACTAAAGGCAATTAGCGTTTAACACAACAAAAGTTTCCCCCTTTAGCTGATATGTTCGTCGCTCCACCTTTCTCATTGGTTTTAAAATACAAGTTTTAATTCAAAACTTTATTCATATTTTCCTCTCCACATGGGATTGTTTAAAAGCTTTTGTACCATTACAAAGTTTATCATCCAAAATGTGATAACCTAAATTTTTTTAACCTCTTCATTTCATTTTAGTTGGATATAAAAACTATTAGTTCGTTTTTTTGTTGTCACATGAAATTAAAAGCACCGTGTGATGTAAAAGTGGGAGAGTTGGAAGTGCACAGCCAGCATAAGAAAATTCTTAAGAGGATAAATTTGCAAACAAGAAAATAAAATAAATAAAAAATAGGAATGCGGGATTTTAGTTGGAAATAAAAGATCTGAATAGAAAATTTGTATGCGCAATTGTAAAAATAAATTATTTGAATGTTTTTGAGGTTTGGAATTTTTGAAACGCATAAAACTTTTTGTATTTTTGACAATTTTTTGAATAATTTCTTTGTGTAGATTTGAAGAAGGTAGGTTTTGATCTTACTGGATTATCTGATTGCCCCGTTGCAATTTTGATATCCTACCCTCAAAATGAGGACTTGGAATTGTCTTTGTTTTGCCTATCTAGCTGTTACTAACTTGGAACCGAATATATATTGAAAAATCAGCACAGTCATTGTTATTGAGACCGTTTGCGTCCATTAATTTGAAAACCATTGGAAATTTAATTGCAATATCTAGAAATAAAACATAAAACCTGAATGTGAAGCCATTCATGTCATTAACCATAGCAATTCTCCTATTCCTTAATAATCGCTATCCCTTAGCTACAATACTGTAACTACTTCATCTTAGGAAAGCTTCAAAGAAGCGTGGATTTTTATATTGACGCGCCCAGCGCACACAAATATGGCACGAGACAAACTGCCAAAATTACTAAAACAACTTCGAAATATCAGCGTTTAACTCAGAATGAATCACTTTGAAGTAAAATAATATGAAAAAAAAAAATCGCAAAGTTCACATAGCATATGAAAACATATAAAAATGTAGTATACGATAGAGAGAGAGAGAGAGAGAGAGAAAGATAAACATATTGCGACTTAGTAAGATGACAAAAAAAGGAACTGAAAAACGAAAACAGAATCTAATTTATTTCAAACATGTTTTTTGAAACGACGAGATAGAGAGTAAGCGAGAAGGAAAGAAAAAGTAATCGTAAATTGCTAACAACACTACGAGCCAACTCTGACATAAGGGATGAAATAAATATGTTTGAGAAAATTAAATAATAAAAAAAAAATATTATAACATGATACATACATTGTACTGATACATGCTGTTCAGTTGTCATGATGAAAAGTTTGGAAAATGTTCAGCAATATTTTTTACCTGATTAAATCGATTTGGTAGATTGGATAGCTTAAAATATTGAATTATTGGACTCTTTTTTTGACAAATTATTGCCTAAAGCATGTCAAGCTGTCACATTAAGGCTTATTTCGCCCACGAAAAATAAGATTTATACCCTTGTATCTCTCAAATTCCACTTGGGACTTACTTTTTATCTCTTCCTAGAATTTTTTTTCTTTCATGGCTTTAAAGATGTTCGGTATCTTTAATCTACGTCCTTTAAATGTGGGAGACTTTTTTTGGTATTTTTACTAAGTTTGTTACTTTGAAAGTTGCTTATTGTTATTTCATTTATTTGATTGTCATCTCTGAGGAGGTGACAAACTTCTTTAAAGTTGTAATTTTGCCAATAATATTAGATTTTGAGGATTAAAGACTTCTTAATCAAACACGCCTATATTTGGTAACCATGAACTGTGAAAAATCCTGATTCGATTTCATGGAATTGTTAATTATTTATATAAATTAAATTAGGAATTAAAATATTGCTTAGTTGATTTACAAAGAATTACTAGAAAGGCTTTAAATTAGGTTTTGAGAGTTTGATTATATTTACTAATTATAGATCTTGAAGATATCAATTGGATTTCAAAACTCAAATATTACAATTAAGAGGGAGTCAACAGTTTATTCTCCTTCTCTGTACCACTTTACACCAGCTTTATATTACATTTTAGCTATATACGGTGAATCCACATAACCCACATACTATCTTATTCATATGCTCCGACCCACATCCAACAAATTGTTTGCATTTTCTTATTTTAAAATTATTAATTTACTAATTGCAATAAAATCTCAAAAATACGCACATCCATGGTTGAATCATAATAAATTCCATTAAAAATCCCACATGAATGAAACTTTTTCAAAAAAAAAATCTAATTTTTAGATCCAACAATAATTTTTGCACAAGTAGTAGTTTCCACAAAAAAAAACTCAAACCCTTAAAAACATCATTCACATTCTGTGCTTGTTTCAAAACTATTTCCTAAAAATTTCATATCTTGATATACTCAAAACCACATCCGCTGCTGCTCCATGTTCACTACAGATTTTTTTTATATTATGATTGCTTTTTAGACATTTGCATGTCACATAATATAAGCTGAGATATGGTATGTGATGCTCCATACAAATGTGTACTTAATATATCTTTCATTTCATTAATTTTTAACACATTATGTTTGATTAAATTATAATATTTGGGTCAATATGTGTATGAATTTTAAAGGATGGATCTTTCTGGATGTAATTGGGTTAGATCCAAAAAAATCTTGATTTGATTGTCAGTAATGGACATTTGATAGTCTGACAGAAATGGAATCGATTTGCAATATTTATAAAAATTTATATATAAGGGGTCGTTTAAAAATGATGTTCAACTTATGCAGCAGAAAACAGAAGAGGGTTCTGTCACTGCATGACACTCTGGTGTAAAAAAAAACCTTCCGAAAGCACCAAGAATGGATTATTAAAAAAATCACTTGATAGACGTCATTTATAAAGGACCCCTAATCTAAAAGTCATTAAATATTTGTGTCACTAGATGTCCCAAATGAAACATGTTGACCCATTTCAAACCAAAAAATTTATGCAGTTTGTAATCGATTATGTAAAAAGTTTTGTGGAGGGATGAAAGCATCCGGAAGCTCCCAAGCGGCTGTAAATTCTTAAAATTACAGCAAGACAGTCTAGCCATTGCTGTTTCGTGGATTGAATTGATTCTGGTCCATAAAATATGTAATCCTTGCTCCGTGATGTTAAGCGATGGTTTTACTGTCATTCAAGTTTTAAGAAGGCTTCTGATGAATGATGATCTTATGGATTTTTAATGCTTTTGGATGTAAAAAGTTTGTAACGATTTGAAAAAGGCGAAATCCAGTAAAACTTTCTTATCAAATATTTCTAGCATCCTAGTCTTTACTCAAGGACGTCGCAGTTCCTTCTTTGAATATTTAACGAGCGTAGCGTAAAGTATATCACATAAAAGCACACTTCCAATCCTCATGGCCAAATCTCTCCATTAAATTAGGATTTAAATTTATTTACCATTGCGTATCTTAAATAATTCAATGACTTCATACCCAAAACTCGAATTTGATGAAAAGCTTTTACGCAGTTGTTAAATTTTTTACAGTTCCATTTTATAATTGATCAAAAAAAAAGGTAAACGAATCTATGGAAACTGATGCTGATAAAAAAAGAGGCAGTAAGTGTGTCAAAAGTCATAAAATAAATTGGAAATTATCATATCGAAAAATATATATTCTGTATGTCATAACTATAAAATTGTTATGCGAAATGAGTCGTCAGGAATTTCATTTCCATTTTATCAGCATACACAATCAACAGTAAAATGGCAAACCTAGGACTAATATGTTTGTGAATTATGAATCTATCGAGATGTGTAATCAATATTTGGAATCACATTAAGGCCTTTTTCATGCTTGTATTGACTAATGGGGTTCTCAAAAACAGGGTTGAGATGACATGTGTGATTGATTCTGAAATAGATTGTAGGTTCTATTAAGAAGTTAAACCATGGGAGCTAGTTTTGAAGTTATCACTGCAGAATATTGGAACAAATCCAAAACCTTAATGTCAAATGTAAATTTTTAAGGGGAACTTAAGACAACGTGATATAGAATTGAGCACTTTGAGATATAAACTGTAAATTAGAGTAGGGTTCCCCAATTACGGTATCTCGCTTTATAACACGGCGATGTATAGGTTCACTATCGACTCAATTGTGGCATTCGAGTAGCTTTCCAACATTTTATAGGAGAGGCTAGCATATTGGCTGCATCATGACGTTTTTTATAATATTTTAATTAATTCATACATGTCAAAATTAGTGTAAGTCACGACACAACCCAACTACTGCAAATATCAGCATGATAAAGAATTTTCCAGTGATTTAGCTATCCAGTTGACTAGCAAATTCATTATTTAATTGAATTTTTTACCCAACAAAAAATAAATTTCATCATCATGACATTCATTTATGTTATACACTAGAAATTGAATCAATACCGAAACAGTAACAGATTTTCACATAAAGAGACCTTAAATTTTGGTCGTGAGTCGTAAAACGTACTGATAAAAAATAATCGATATATTCTTTGAAATGCCATCTCTTGATATCATATACGATGTCAATTTATTACAAGAGGATGAGAACCTGATGAAGAAAAAGTCGGCAACAACAATACAATTTTACAAACACTTTATGATGAAAATTTATTGACATTTTTTTCTTCTCTTGCTCTCTTTTTTTTATATGTGTGTTCCTCCGGTTGTTGGATGATGCTGTGCATTTTTCCTTTTTCTTTTCTTCGTTATGTTCGGGCTCTAAAAATAACAATATGATACAACACGAAACAAAATCAACAAAAAAATGATAACGGTTAAGGTTTCGGGCTTAGCAATGTTGGCATCAGGCATCTGGGTTCAAATTGCCCTTCATCGTTACATGGAATTGTCTACATACTATACAAATACATTTCAAATCATTCTTGTTGGCACTGGTTTGCTCATACTTTTTGTCGGAACAATCGCCTGTTGTTGTACAGTTAAAGCACAATCATCGCTTCTTTACTTGGTGAGTAGAATTTTTTTTTTAAGTGTTGTCTTATATTTTTAGAATCAAATGAGGAGATCAGTTAGGAGACACTTATACTGTTTTGGAGTCTACTCTGGATTGTTTAAAAACTGGTTCGATTCTTCTCGCCCTATAATTAGATTTGAGTAGATTTGAATTGCTTACTAATGCATTATCAGATTTGCATACACATGACTCAACATCGTAGATTCCACTCTAACACCACAAAATATAGAACCAATATCTTATAGAAAGCAAATTAAAGTCATAAATTGGAATAAATTCAGAATAACAACATTACACAGACAAACTTTTGATCTTAACATAATCAGATTCATGAAGCTCTAAATAGCTAGCCATCAAACACAATGGTCCCGTAACTTTTATGTAATCAGATTAAGATGTATAAAATCAGAAACTCCCAAAAAATCGAAAATGTCATCAAAATAAACAAAAAAAAAAAGTCATGAGAAAAAAATCACGACAATCTCACCCTTACAAATAGAAATGGTTAATCCCCACATGTGTATCATGTGTATGTGCGTATCCATAAAGTAAACAACAGAAAAACAATGGAAAATGTAATGGTATCTTATATTCATTGTTATTCATTCGAGAGAGATATACATAATGTTTTTTGTGTTATTTTACGGCATCTCTCTTGGTTTGATGTTGTTGTTGCTGCTGCTCTCGGTTGATGTTAGAGAAAACACACAGAACTAAATTAATTATGCAATACTAATTTCGTTTTTATGTTTCTTTTGCTTGTTTTCTGTCTCTTACATCTCTCTCGACTGTATAAACTATCACAAAATCCAGTATTCTGGTTTTCTGGCAGTTATTTTGATTGTAGAATTAACTTTAGCCGTAAGCTTATACACGTACAAAGATCACTTAACGGGTGGTTTACGAAAGGGATTGAATCAGAGTCTTCACAATTACGGGCCAGCTGCCGTTATGCAATCTGCAGATTTTGATGCTATGCAAGAGAATGTAAGTAGTCGTAAATTAATTTACATCTCCATATCATACAAACATTTAATATTCATTGTAATTTAAATAAACACCAACTTCATCATCTCCTTCGTATGTCTTTCTCATCGGAACGTGTCTAGCTCGGATGTTGTGGCAACACAGACTATCGTGATTGGTATACATTATCTCCTCCACGACCAGTACCTCGTTCATGCTGCCGAACACCGGGACCAGTACGATGTGATACACAAGATGAGACACAAATTTACAATCAAGGATGCTTTTTGAAAGTGACACAATATCTCGACAAAAATATTGGACGAATATCATTTTCAACACTCGGATTCGCCATGTTTTCACTTGTCGGATCAATTCTATCAATTGCATTAGCAAAGACAATCAATAAAGCAAAATATGAACAGATGGCATAAACTTCGCTCTTTATCATGTCCCTCATTCAGGATCCCAATTTTATTTGATTTTTATTACGCACCGTAGAGCTTTAATTCGCACATACTCGTTTATTTTTTAAAGAAATGTTTAGACAAAAAAAAATTTGTTTTGATTGTGATTCTTCTAAAATATTAAAATGGGACTGTTGATGTTGCAAGGAAAAAAATGAAGATGTATACATTATGGGATATCTCAAGTTTTGCTATGATAATGCATCACCCTTAATGGGATTTGAGATTTCCTCGTTCTCGTTTTTTCTTGTGGAGGAATTCAGAGTTGTTGGTTTGAAGAAGGGTTTGTTGTAGAGCTCGAAGTCGATTTGAAAGAAATAACACGCAAAATCAAGTCAACTTGAGTCAATTCAACTTAATCCATTTCACATCAAATCATTTAAACTTGAGGAATTTCAACTTGAGCCAATTAAATTGGAGCAATTCAAACTTGGATCAAGTTATTTTCATTCAAGCTAACTTGAGCCAATTTAACTTGAGTCAATCTCACTTGACACAATTCAAGTTTTGATTTATTGGAATTTTAACTTGAGCCAATTCAACTGGAGCAGTTTCAACTTGGATCAAGTTATCTTCATTCAAGCTAACTTGAGCCAATTTAACTTGAGTCAATCCCACTTGACACAGTTCAAGTTTTGATTTATAAGGCTGTCAAGCAGAATTAAAAACAAGATCTGTATCTAGTTATCATGCATAAAAACCAGGAAACTTGAGTTGTTGTGATATTAAAGTCAGTAAACACCACCATAAAATCTTTCAAGCAACCAACAACTCTGAAATCAAACAAACGAAGATCCAGAAGAAGAAAAGTCACAAGCAACAGTCACGTAAATGTTAATCTATATGTGATTTCGATTTTTGAGCACATAGTTGATTAATGCACTCAGTAAAAGTATTATTCGAGAACGTGAAAAACACTTCTTAATGTTCAACGTATAAACACACATGTGGACACACAAAATGATACACTCGCACCAAATACAACAGAGAGAACACGATATTTTGCAGGAGCATATGAGTATGTAATATTCAGAGCCTATTATTATGCATTCTATGGTGATGCTGTGAGCGGAAGAATGTTGAGATACGTTCGTGCAAGAGTTTAAGCATTCATGAGAGAATTTCAATTTTTGTACATATGTCGACGAGGTTTCAGCATATTTCTTGGGGGAATATGATAATGTGGTTTTTATTTCCGATCATCCGCATCCTTTATCAAGATGAAAGTTTTAAAGGTTAGGGAAATTTTGGAAGATATTTTCATAGCTTGATGTTTTACAATTGATTAAAAGTGAAACAAACTATCGTAGAGGAGGTCAAATAATGGATACAGAACCAGAATGACTGGTTATTTCAAAAAAAAAAATCATGTTTGATCTCAAAATTTAGAAAGTCTATCGATTTTTGATTTATAAGAATCGTGGGATTTTCAGATTAACCTAGAATATTTTATCGTAGTAATGGATAGAAATCTAGGTTCAGACTAGATTAAGAATCAATTGACACTAGATTGAGACTAAATTGAGTCTAGGTTGAACCAAAGATTGAAGTCGACTCGATATTCAGTCGACAAAGTCGACTCCATACGAAATTTCATCGACTTCGAGCTCTAGTTGAAACTAGATTGACACAAGGATACCCGGAATAACCCTAAAATTCGGACCACGAGCTCATTTATGCACCAAAAATGCAGAATAATTTGAAGTAAGTAATTATTCAAACTAGCATATAGGTACGTTAGTGACTCGGACGTCGAACAAAGCCTGGAATGCATAATAATACCGGAAAATTAATCGCAACAGTTCACACAATAAAACAAGGAAAAAAATAGTTATTCTCAATAATCTAGCACCCACCTTTAAAAACCAAGAATAAAGTAAATACAATATTAATGTGACATGCTTTCAAGCCAATATCCATTTAAGCAAAGAGAATAAAAAGTACAGTACACAAGAACACACAATACACGAACACATACAGATATTCACTCACCGCATAATATAGAGAGGATTTATTTCCATAAAGACTGAAAAATGTGTTTTTCCTAAGAAAAAAAAATAAATAAGAAATTACTTTTACGTTCCTCGATGGCACTTGTGGAATTGCACGAATATAAAATAAATTTAACATAAAAAAATATATATTGAGCTTGTAAATTCAAAAAAAAATGAGAAAAAAATATTATGTGTTTCACGCATCATTCACAAATTGATCCTAATTTATTGTGCATTATCCTTTATTTATATCCATTTCTTCGTTTAGTTTATTTCTTATTACAATAGCCCGGTTGCGAGCGTAGGGGACATGATAAAGAGATGAAGATAAATAAAATGAGTCGAAAATAAGAAGAAAAAAAAATTCGAAATGACCAAATAATAAATTTAATAAAAAAGAAAGATTTACTATTATATTGAAGCATAAATGATGAAAATATTGTGACGAAATCTTTAGGAAGATTTATGCCATTTTATTATGCTTTTAAAAGTAAAACAAAAAAAAGTAAGGGAAAATATTTCCCATTTTATGAGGAATAAATTAATTCACAAAATAAGTATAATAAAACATTTAATTAATGTTCGAGTGGTATTTATGTATGCGCTCATATGGTTGCCTTTAACTGTTTTCTTTAGAGCAAATTTTTATTAGAATATGTTCATGAAATTTTACATACCTAATTAAGTAGTATTCAACATAATTAAATGGGTTTGTATGATTAAAAAAGTTACGTTGGGAATATTCATATGTTACCTTTAATTCTCGTGAATTAAAATGCTGTAATGTGTATTAAGTATGTGCAGGATGTATCTTAGCATTTATACAAATTGAAGTCGAGACAAATGGAACATTGTCGAGGTTGGAATTTAAAAGAAATCTTACATTGCTGCTCTACACACTAGTTCACAATAGGTTTCACTTGTTTACATTAGTTTGCACTATTACATTAGTTTACATTAGTTTGGTCTAGTTTGCACTAGTTTTAACTTGATTTATACTAGTTTACAATAGTTCACATTAATGATCACTATTTTCCCTAACAGACAAAGAGCATGCTCTCAATGAGTATGCTCACTAAAATATATTAGCTGAGTATCCTCATGAGTTAACTCAGTCAGTACATTTAAGTGAGCATACTCATTGCGAGCATGCTCTTTGTCTGTTAGGGTTTGCACTAGTTTACGCTAGTTTTCACTAGTTTGTCTCATCTAAATTCTTATCAATCTAAAAAGCGATCTTTATCAATCAAAAATCATATGACAGCATCCAAAAATACCACCAGACAATCGAGAAAAAAAAAATAAATTTGTAAAAAATTTCAAAAAAGTGAAAACAAAATCGTTGTAAGAGCGATGAATACGCTTTATTTTCATGTGAAAATTGATATGCATTTTCATATATTATGAGTAGATAATGAATTAATTAATTAACGAATAATAAAAAGTATATTTAAAGTAATAAATTCAATGTAATTATGTAAAATAAATTTAAAAAAATACGAGGAAATTATAATGAGATTTCATCCCCCCCCCCCCTCCAAAAAAAAGAGGATATACCACCCCTGCCATTGTATTACGATGAAAGCAATTTATTATTTTTTTTCTGGTTGATAGATTCGCTTCATTTTAGCGATTGTTATTCAATATATTCAATCAAGTGGTTTCAATGTATTAGGATTAATGAGATTTTCCTTACAGGCAACCAATTGTTATGAATTTTGTAGATCATGTTTCGATAAAAGTTTCATGTGACATTTGGGTACGGAAAGTAGAGACTTATCTTGATAAGGTGATTTTTGGTAGAATATCTGTCCAATTTATCAGCATAATGAGACACTGACAGTGTAGGTTGATCGATTTTATGAGGCTGCGAGGATTTTCGTCATGTTCAGCCATTTTTCCGATCAGAAAAGAATTTTTTAAGAATGCCAAACACCTGCCATTTGATGTCTAGTATACAACTTGCTTAGCAACTTTCTGATGAATATCAAATTTATTATTTGCTGATCGGGTTTCGTGTCATAAAATATGCAATTTTTCAATAATTTATGCTTGGCAAATTTGACTTTTTGACAGCATTTTCCATAATTTATTCATCCTTTTATTTATTGTTAATATTAATTCAATCAATAATGGTCAAATAATTTGTGGATAAATTACATAAGCAATTCATATGTGTCAGCTGTTGACAAAGTCATTATTTATTGGGAATAATTGCTTGTTATGGCGCAAATTAAATCTGAGGTTTCCTTTGGAGGTTCCTGAATTAATGGTAGAGTAAAGAACAAGCTTATTAACCTTTACCATCCATGATAAAATAACTTCAAACTGACTTTAATTGCTCTATTAAAAATTGATGAAGGTTCTGTGTAGACTTAGCCTCAATAATTCTATCTATCTCAAAAACATGCATGATAAATCCATCAAAATCACATAAATCCACATAGAGACACTAAAACAACAAAACAAGGAAGGATATACGTGAAATAGGATGTAAATATGAATGTTGGGAATGAAAATGAAGTTAATTAAAAGTTTAATGAATAAACCTGCAATTTACATATTTGATTATAAAAGTTCACTTTGGATTAACTTGGAAGCAACAGGATTCCATGCATTTTTAATTAATTATAAAGTTTCTCTAACTTAATTATGAGAAAAACCAGAGTTGATTTTATTTTATGTTGGTGAGTACCAAAATGAAGGTATTCAACATTTTCTGTGAATTTTGAATCATAAAAACTTTTTCATCAGATTAAATCAGAATTGTGACACACAAAAGACAACTAAGTTGAAATCATTTTGATTCCGATGAGGACAAGAACATAGAAAATTCAAATTTTATTGATGAAAAACATGTGCTGAACATTTTAATTAAATCTACATCTCATTCATTTTAAACATGAATCAAATTCAATTATACACTCATAAAAAAAAATTAACATTTTTCATTGTTATTTCGTTGTAAACCAGATTTAACAATGACATTGTTAAATTTATATGACGAAAAAAAAAGTTAACAATATCATCGTTAAAATTATTTTTACAATCAATTAACGATAAGATTGTAACGTAACGATGGTGATTGTTAATTTTACAATGGTCATCGTTAATATTAAATTTTAAATAATTTAATTTTACTTAAGCTTTGAATAATCTTAATTGAATAAAAATTCAGTATGAAAAGTGAGTTTTATTTCTGTGTACTTAAGAACTATAAAAATTTAAAAAAGTTGATTTTTTATTAAAAAATGTTGTACTTGAAATAATTTTCGTTAATTAAATTATTTTTCAATACTTTCTATTGATGTTTGACAAAAAGTATAATTAAAATCTTATTCATTTTCACTATTTATAAAATTTACCTTTTCATTTAAATAATTATTTTGTCACTTTCAAATCAGATCAAAAATTAAGAAATACTTCAACACGTAAAACAGGCGGCATTGGAAGTTAAGCAACAAAATTTTATCTCCTTTTTGGATGGGTGACCATTTTTTCTTCGAAATTTTTTTTTAACAATATGATTGTTAAATTTTACAATTTCATTGTTGACAAAAATTTTTACAATGGTCATTGTTAAATTTAACAATTTCATGGTCAACGCTATTTTAATCATGACATTGTTAAAATTTTCATACAAAGTAACA